TGGTTAACTAAGAAACCAATATGGACAAAGCAATGGCCTTTAGCTGAGGAAAAGTTACAGGCTTTAGAACAGCTGGTACAAGAACAATTAGATGCTGGACATATAGAAGAATCTACCAGCCCTTGGAATTCTCCTGTATTTGTGGTTAAGAAAAAAATCAGGTAAATGGAGAATGGTGACAGATCTCAGGGCCATCAACAAGGTTATTCAATTTTGGATACCATCAAAATTAATAAAGGTTCGGTTTGAAGAAGAGAAGCCACTTGGAAAAGATAAATAACAATTCTTTCATAAGGATGGCGAACATACTGATGGTAAGAAATACAGATAGGTTGGAGGCAGGGTTCTTTTCTTATCTCCACAGGAAAATACTCATCTTCAAAGAAATTGAGGGACCCTGAATATTTAATTACTGATGTATGGACACATTTTGTAAGTATTAATTTTTATATATGTCTTATTAAACATTTCTTTATAAATATATAGAGCTGGTTTTGAAGTTGGACTCTGGCTCATTCCCTCTCCAATTCCAAGCCTGTTAGTAAGAGAAAAACCCAGAGTTTCTGGAGTTTCTCTCTCATGTCAAGAGCCATGATATGGGACAGAAAGAAATATGAGTTTAGAAAACATCTTTGCTTTTCTTCATATCTATCATACTTTTCATTGAATATATCTATCATGCCTTTCATTGAATATATATATGCATGTCTATATGATTAATGTTTAAGTTTTTCACAATGAACAATGAATTTTTCCTGAAGTGACATTTGAAGTTTCCAGGAAGAAGATGGGGCCCCACAACAACAACTCTACCTGGTTGATATGACGTCATGATACTGATAGCTGTACTACAAGACCTGTTTTGGATACCAGCTGCACAAGACGATCCCAACTTGGTTAGCTGAAATGGTGCATATCTTGTACAACATTCTGGCCAGACCTCCACAAAATACTCAGAGACTATTTGCAATTTTAAAAGACATTGATCTTGAAATTTAACCATCATTTTACTTTCACAGGATCCCCCAGAAAGAACATTGCCCCTATGACAGCTGGAAGTAATTCTAGAGGATGACATCCCCTCTCCCAGTAAAGTTTACCCCTGGGTTTAGGGACATCATTTAGGGGTTGGGAGGTTGGGGGAGGAATTTTATAAGTTCAGGGATCATTTTGAAAAAAAAAGAGGGATGATGGGATAATAGATTTATAATTGTGAGTTACTGCTTTTAGACAAATATATTGGTATTGCTTCTTCTATATTGATACAAAGTTAAATTATATTGACTATTGTATGCATGCATGTTTCTATGTCTGTTTAAAACATTTTTATGTATTGACATATATTGTATTGATATATATATATAGTATATATTTACCATATTGCAGTTTACATTTCTACCTCTGATTAAGATACTTATATAATGTTTGTGTATTAATATATATTTGCCATATTGCAATGTTTATTTGTACAGTGTTTATATTTGGAGGTCATTATCCTCATTTGTTACACAGTTGTTTATTGTCTTAGTCTTTAAGTTAGATAGATATTGAGAATTATATAGATAAATAGTCATCTAAGTTTGTCATTTATAATTAGACTAATCAGGTTCTTTAGATATATAGAGATTATACTCAGTATAGATAGATAATCTTCGACTCTTCAAAGAGCTGTAGAAAATGGCCTTTAATCTAACTCAGAGTTTCGTGATAGTGAGACACAATTGCTCCTGGCAACACTGCTCTATTCCTGAGAGAATATTGAGCACCAAAGACACTCCATCTGGAGCCTTTCTATTTGGCAGAACTGGCCTTTGGGCAAAGAAATGCCCATACTTCAACCACTGACAGAGATACAGAGCATGAATCAATGGATAAAACAGGACTGTCATATCCTGTATGTGATATGACAAGTAGTGAGTAGTGATAGCAATAGAAGATAAATAGCAAAACATCATCAGATTTAGTACTCACATTTAATAGAGATGACTCGAGTAGCCATTGAGGGAACAAACAAAAGATAATGACAGAAATCATCTGGAAAAGTCCTAATTGAAGCAGCCATTTGGAATTCTTGATTGAGATACCCAGGTGAGGCTTTCCAGTTGTTGTTTTTTTTGTTTGTTTATTGTTTTTTAAAGAATAGCAAGAAGCAGATGACTGGAGAAGTTGAAGCGGTCATCTGGATTCTCAAGCCAACTTTCGCTCCATGGGTGAGGTTTCCATGGCTGAATTTCTGGCTTCCTGTTCCTACTGAGGCGTTTTTATACCATCTGATAAACGATAGTCTTGGAAATGGTTAGCGTTTTAGTCATTATCAAGGACACAGTATTTTATTCCTGGGCTGTTTTGCTCTTTCTTTCCTCCATTCATAGAATTAGGTGCCCATCCAGTCCTAGAAAAAGGTATTTTGGAGAACATTTGGAGACCACTGGAAACAAATATGCTAGAGTTGGTACAAGAGAGGCCTTGCTTTCATCATCCATTTTGAACAAGCTTAAACAGCACAGAACAGTTTACCAGTAAAATGCACATTATACTTGATTATGAAAATATTAACAAAAAATTAACAAAGAATGTTGTTCTCTTGTGAGTCTTTAACATCTGTACCCTTGATGTGCACAAAACAAAAGCCTTTGGCTAAACAGTGCTGGGTTTCACCACACTCCTCTTGCAGTCTGTGACTGAGCATCAGTAACTAAGACCAGCTAGCTTATTCCACCTTTAGATGTTTAGTGTAGTGCTGACTGGATGGTGGTAACTGTTAGAAAGATGGCTGCTATTCTTACTGAAATTGTTTGTTTATTTTGTTTGTTTGTTTTTTTGAGACAGTTTCTCTGTAACTTTGGAGTCTGTCCTAAAATTCACTCTGTAGACCAGACTGGTTTCTGCCTCCCAAGTGCTGGGATTAAAGGCATGCACCACCACCGCCTGGCGAAATTCTGTTATTTTAATATGGAATAAGCTTTCATGTGAGGAAAAGTTCAGTAAGATAAACATCTAGTACTAAATGAAACATATCTAACATGGTTTGTGGTACCTGCTAGAAACTGTTAAATATTGGAACTGTGGCAGAGTGACATATTCAGGGTGAAGAGGATGACTTTCTTGATTCAGTAGCTATGTGGTTTTTAAAGGTTCTTTCCTAGATTGGCTTGTAAGCATATAAATACGTTACTCTATTTTCAACTAGTGTCCCAATTTTAAGGTGACCCTGTTAGATTGATAGTGTAGCAGTAGGACTAAGTGACTTATCCAAGATTAAGCCCAGCCGTATTAGCATTAAGGACTAGTTACAGCTGGGGGAAAGAGCTCCGAATCTACTTTAGAAATAGATGAAATTTCAATAGTTGAATCATGAGTTGAAAAATATTATTTGTCTTGATTATGAAGATGGACTATTTTGTCATAAAATAGAAACAAATATGTATCAAGACATAGTTTTTCACCTGTCTTAAGATGTCAGAGTGGTATCTTCATTTCTAGGCTTAGTTTTCCAGGCAGCGCTGTTACCATTTGTGCACATGGATGTGTATAGTGGTTGTCTCTAGTGTTCCAGAAAGAAGACTGAGAGGGGAGGGGAACCATAGTAGTTTTGTCGTTATTGAGGTTCTTCTTTTTTTATTTTCCTTTTTATTTTTCTAGACAGGGCTTCTCTGTGTAGCCTTGGTTGTCCTGGAACTCACTCTGTAGACTAGACTGGCCTCAAACTCACAGAGCTCCTCCTGTCTCTGCCTCTTGAGTGATGTGACTAAAGGCATGTGCCACCACCTGGTCTGAGACAGGTTCTTATGTAGTCCATGCTGGCCTGGAACTCACTAAAGATGACCTTGAACTCCTGAACAGGAGGCTGTTTTGATTCAGAAAGTCTACAGATCTTCCTGTGACTCCATAGTCTACAGCAGTTTATACCAGCATCACCACCTTGTAAGAAATAAAGTCATTAGTTTGGAAAAGTCACCCAAGGTCAGTATAAAACTGGGGAGGATATTATTTTTCTATGAAGAAAAAGACTTCTTCAGGGTAAAAAATATTCTCTGTGTACTTACCAGGGCATATTGTATATTAGTAATTGGACCTAAAAGGAATGCTTTCTTCAGCAAGACACTGTGGGAAAAGATAAGAGGTATATTTCTTAGAGGTGAGGGGAAGTTGTGTTAGGGATGTAGGACACACAGTGCTGGCAGGGACAACTTCTCTGCTAAACGTTAGCCTTGAAACTGATTTTATGTTTGTTACAATTAGGTATTTGTCACAGTGTGTTCTATTTGGGAAGAAAGTTTTGTTGATATTTTTACCTACAGTTTAAACATCAGAGTAACCAAGTCAGGTTGGATGGATTGCTTGTTGTGGATGAGTTTGTGTGTACGTTGAGATGTAATGCCCTAGTTAACATTGGGATACCATTAAATTTGAATTTCAGGATGGCTCAAAGGGTAAAGGTACCGTAGGATCCCTAGAGATCACTCCTGCAAATTGTTCTCTGACCTCCACTTGTGTTTTGTGGTGCGATAGACTACTATACATGTCCTCCAAATAATAAATGTAATTTTTTAAAAAAAATTGAGTCAGTCAAACATCAAATGGCTTATTTGCTGTTGACTTAACGTTCTAGTGGTACTAGGATTTTTTTTCCTAATTAAAAAAATTATGGTGTGTGTGGGCTCACACATGCCATTGTGTGAATGAGGAGATCAGAGGACAACCCAGTGGTGTTGGATTCTTTCCTCTCATCTTTATGTAGGTTCTGGGGAATGCACTAATGTTATTGGCTCTGTGTCAAGTACTTTACCCACTGAACCATTCCTTTGGCCCTGTAATCCCTGCTCCCAATACCAGCATCCTTGGAGGGTGAAGCAGTTATTGACAAAAGATACTTCTGTCTTTATTACATTCTTATTTATTATTATATTCGTGAAAATAACATGTGTTTAGAGGTTTTATTGTTTTGCTCTTGACTTTAATGTAAATAGTTATTAATGTTTTAATTGTAGTCTTGCTTGATTGTAATCTTGAACATGGGCGGTGCTGTGAGTGCTGGTGAGGACAACGATGAGCTCATTGACAATTTGAAGGAAGCCCAGTACATCCGGACAGACTTAGTAGAGCAGGCTTTCCGAGCTATCGATCGAGCAGATTATTACCTTGAAGAATTTAAAGAAAATGCGTACAAAGACTTGGCATGGAAGCATGGAAACATTCATCTCTCAGCCCCTTGCATCTACTCAGAGGTGATGGAGGCTCTGGATCTGCAGCCTGGGCTCTCATTTCTCAATTTGGGCAGTGGTACTGGCTACCTCAGCTCCATGGTGGGCCTCATTCTAGGTGAGTGTGGATACGGAGCTTGAGTCCTCTCTGCGTTAGAACAATGTCTATCGTTTGAGATAGAAAATGTAGTGGGTTGGTTGCATCCCCTGGTGAAGACCATGAACCTCCTATCAGTTGCCTGAAGCTTAGCTTAGCTACAGGTGGTGGATGACTGATGAGTTGTAAGTGGGGGGTTTCCATTTCTTTGTCTCCTCTTACCTGTGCTGCTGCATTCTGCTATGAATGATGGAAAACAGCAAAAGTGTATAAATCTTGACTTTATGTGATTTCTTAATTTAATTTAATCATTCTTTTGCTCTTTTTTCCACTGTCATTAAAATCCTTTGGTAGTTGAAGTTCATTGTAGCTGTTTCTGTTTTGTTGTTTGCTACTAAAGGAGTAATAAGTTTATGTATTTTTAAGGCATTTTCAGAGATGGAAGGGATTTCTTAGGTTATCATGTTTGGAGTCATTTAGGCTGTATTCTCTACAAGTTGTAGAATGTATGTAAGAATATGGCCATTTCTGATATTATTATCAGGATTACCAACCAAAGAGCTATTGAATTCCTGCCTTGTATAAAATGTATATTGGGGCAAAGATTTTAGATGTTGCTTGTTTTTCTTCTCAATTGAAATGATTTTTAATCTTAATTTGTCTTTGATTGAGACGTGGTATAGAGAAAGCCTAATATAAGTTTTATTTGTAAATATAGATTTTTTCTTAAATTTTTCAGAAAAATTTCTTTTTCTCTTGCTTTTTTTTCAATTTGCAATTTTTAAAAAATTGTTCTTTTGATGTTTGAAAAGTCCAGGCATCAAAACAAATACTGTGTTAATGAATAGAAAGACTCCCTGAGTGATTTAGAGCCACAAATGTGCTGAGACCTTAAAACCTCGTGAATTTCTGTAATTATACATTACATAATTATCTGTGTTGTAATTAGTAAAGTACAGAAAAACAAATGAACAAGGGTTCTTTTCCTATTCTAAGAGTTTCGTTATTCTCAATATTTTCAGGTCCTTTTGGTGTGAACCATGGGGTGGAGCTTCATTCAGATGTGACTGAGTATGCCAAGCAGAAACTGGATGTCTTCATCAGAACAAGTGATAGTTTTGACAAGTATGGTCAGATACAACCCATTGGTTCAACTAAGGGCATTAATGATAGATAGAAAAAGCCTGTTTAATATGCATTGATCAATAACAAAGTATGATGAGATGATCCCAGGTTATATGTGTATCTACCCTAGTTACTGTACTATTTTAATATTCTCTAGTCTTAAGGGCTTTATGGTTTTTATTTTATTTTATTTCTTTGTTTTTTGAGAAAAAGTACCCTCACATAGCCCTGGCTATCTTGGAACTCACTATGTAGACCAGGCTGGCCTTAAATTTATATAAACCCACCTGCCTCTGTCTCTTGAGTTCTGGGATTAAAGGCATGCACCACCACACCTTGGCAGCTTTTTGTTTGTTTGTTTTTTTTATTTTTTGAGACATGGTTTTTCTGTTTTACAGCTCTGACTACACTGGAAATCAGACCAGGCCTCTGCCTCCCAAGTGCTGGAATTAAAGGTGTGGGCCACCATTTTCCAGCCAGCTTTGTGTTTTATAACTTATGACACTTACATTAACTTTTCATCAGTATAGTAAGAGAAGAGAACAAAAACTTTATTCAGTTTTCATATTCCAGTATAGAAAACTTTTATCACCTAATGGTTTCTACAATAGAATAGTTACGTTTGTCTTTGAACAGTTTATGTAAGTAGCTCTTGGTGTTTAAAACATGCACTAAACTTCTTAAAGAATGGGAGTTTCAGAGAATAAAAAGTGCTTTTTTTTGCTGGTAGTTGTGGACAGAGGCAAGCAGATCTTTGTGAGTTTGAGCAAGTTGGTCTACATGTCAGTTTCTAGGCTAGACAGTAGAGAGTGCCTGTCCAAAAAGAGAAAGTGCTCTTTAAAACTTCCTGTTGGGATTGGCAGAATGGCTCAGGGTAGGTAAAGGAACTTGCTGCCCAGAGTGATGATTTGAATTTGATCTCTGGGAACCACCTGGTGAAAGGAGAACTGACTTCTACAAGTTGTCCTCTGAAGTTTTCATGCATGCATGCGGTACATGCATGCACACACACACACTGAAATAATCAAAATCTGCTTGTCATGCAACTGAATGTGGTGTTGCACATTGTAAAAACAGTGAAAACTGATGGCTGCTGTTGCTTTATATTTAGATCATGTTGGAACATTCACTTTCATTTTATTTTGTTTGTAATTTCTAAGGATCTATTTATATAGTAATACAGCTTCTAGCTCCTGGATCCAGAAAGTGTTTCCTTGTCTGTGATTTTATAATTAAAACATAACCTATGGTAAGCACAAGTTTGTTTTATGCACTTGTTGCAATGACACATATAGTTACAGAAAACTTCTTTCTTCGCAGATTTGACTTCTGTGAACCTTTGTTTGTAACTGGCAATTGCCTAGAGATTGCTCCAGATTGTTGTCAGTATGATCGTGTGTGTTGTGGAGCAGGTGTGCAGAAAGAACACGAAGAGTACATGAAGAATCTTCTTAAAGTTGGAGGGATCCTTGTCATGCCCTTGGAAGAGAAGGTCAGGTTCTCTACACAGGTGATGTTGTGTATACTCTCCTTCACAGTCAGTTTATCTGTACTACTTTTGCAATAGCTTCTGCCGTTTTATTAACCGAGGGCAGGATGGATATGCCTAGGTCTTCCAAACCCTAGGTGCTATGTCTGAACCTTCCCTTACCTCCTTTTTCTCTTAGATTTGTTCTTTTTGTTCTTTTTTCCTTCTCACCACTAATTTTCTTCCTTCCCTCCTCTTCTTCCTTCTCTTCATCTTCATCCTAGCTCCCTTTGTTGTTTTTGTTGTCTTATAATGGTCTACTTGCTCAATACTTGATGGAAAGTATTTTACACATTTTTTCCTTTTCCAAAATTTTCTTGTATAGATTGTCTTGTAACTTACAATGCTTTACTTAAAAGAGGTCATGAATGTAATTTTAAGTCATCTAATTTTGAATCTATATCATTTTGGTATTTAAAAGTTGCATTTGGTTGATGCATGTCTTAGGTGTGTGTGTTTATGTATGGGTATTCACAAGTGTGTGGCCACGTATATCTTCCAGTGTGCAGGTATGTATGTCATGTGCATGTGGAGGCCAGAGAATTGACATCTGGTATTTTCTTTGATTGCTTTCCACCTTATGTATGGAGGCAGGATTTCTCACTTGAAACCAGAGTTTACCAGTTTGCCTAATCTAGCTAGCCAGCTTGCTCTGTGGATTCCTTGTCTCCACCTTCCGGCTGTTGGGATTACAGGTGAATCACACCATCTGCCTTAATGTTTAATTGAGTGCTGAGGGTTGGAACTCTGGTTCTCCTGTTTGCATGTCAAACACTTTACCAACTGAGCTATTTTCCTAGCTCAGTTTTCCTTCTTATTTTTTAATCTATTGGTTTTCTTATTCATATTTTCTTTACAACTGATTTATTCAGGAGAGTAGGTTATTGGTCTCGTAGTGTTTTCCTACACTCTGGACTTTTCAGTCCATAGATACATGTTCTTCTGTCCTTTGTATTTTCTACCTATTGGTAATTATATCTAGAGGCTTGGTAGAGTTTACCTTTGTCATATTTTGATGGAGGAGAACAAAAGAATATAATCCATGTATTAAAAATAGACATTTGCTCTCAGTATACAAAGGATTCTTTCTGAGATCACTTTCTTCCACTCATGATGACAAAATATGGAGATGCCTCAGATCCTTTTATAAAATCATGTCATGTGATAGTGGCATATGGACTACACACATCCTCCTGTGTGTTTCAGAATTCCTCTAGATTACTTGTAATGTCTGATAGAGTATCAGTTGTAACATGGAGGGCCAGTCTGCTTGTTTGTTGGGGTTTTTGTCTTGCCCAGTACCCCACAACTGTTTAGCCCCAAAGAAAATCACACATAGGTCTCCATAAATTATAAGCTGATTGGCCCATTAGCTCTAACCTCTTACTGGCTTACTCTCACATTTTGATTAACCCATTTTTCTGATCTATGTTAGCCATGTGGCTCAATACCTTTTTACAGTGGGGCAGATTACATCCTGCTGCTTCGGTGGTCTAGGCAGGAGTGGAAGGAATCAATTTCCTCCTTCCCAGAATTCTCCTGTTCTCATTACATCATTTCTTCTTCCTGTCTGGTTTTCCCGCCTGTATTTCCTGCCTGGCCAATCAACGTTTACTTATAACATGATTGATAGAATACAGACAATTCTCCCACACCAATCAGTACTATATAAATAGTTATTGTGTTGCTGGAATAATGACAAGCAGAAAGTCTGTACATGTTCAGAAGTAGACAATTATTTCTGAATATTTTTAGTATACAATTGCTTGTATGTTAAAAACCTTGGATCTTGAGGATAAGTTCTACTTAAGTATGTAGGTACAAGCAGCTTCTCTGTTTACTCATCCTTGTAAAATGATAGTAGCCTGATCCATTGTTTCATTGAGAACTATAGAATAATACATTTAAATTCCTTCATTTTTTCTGTATTTAGGTGCTGTTTAACTTTGATAAAGAGAAAACTGCTTATTACTGATTTGGTCCCCCTGAAGTATACATTATGTAAGACATATAGGATAAATTTTGGTTCTTAATGTTTGCTTATTAATTTTCTAAGTAATTTGCCCTTTTTTTTTATCAAAGGGAGGTGACTAATAAGGCTTTGTTTGTCTTTTAGTATCACTAATTTTGATTGAGATCATTTTAACTCTAGTTAATTTGAAAAGGATGGGCATCCTCATACTATCTCCATCTGTTCATCTAGATTATGAAATACAGGCTTATAGTTTTATTTAAGGTCTTACATGTCATTTATGTACTATGCTTAAATGTTTGATGTTCATTCTAGCTAGAAACTATCCTTTAAAAAGAAAGTTTCTGGGTAGTTGGATGGTGGTGGTGCATGCCTTTTATCAGGTGGAACTCTGAGTTGGAGGCCAGCCTGGTCTACAGAGCGAGTTCCAGGATAGCCGGGGCAATACAAAAAAACAAAAACAAAAACAAAAACCCTCTTCTTAAACAAACAAACAAAACAAAAAAAGATTCTAGGTGATGAAGAGATGGCCCAACGGTTAAGAACATACTGTTCTTTTTTTTATTTGATTTTTTATTGTAAATAATATGTATATGTTTACAATATATTGTAAGCAAAACATATATACAATATATATTGTTTTTTTATTCTCTTTTTTTTATTGAGAAAAAAAATTTCCGCCTCCTCCCAGCCTCCCACTCCTCCCCCCTCCCAGAACATACTGTTCTTACAAAGGAACTGAGCTCATGAAGATCTGTAACTCCAGCTTTAGGGATTCTGATGTTCTGTACTGGACTCTGAGAGCACTGGCACTCATGCACAGACCTTTGCACACACACATACACGTTTTTTTAATCTTCAAAATTTTCTGAAAGAATGTTTCTGCTGTTATCCCTGAATATGATTAATCTTTAGATATTTTTTCTATATATTGTGCTGCTTAATCCTTTTAAAGAGTCTTAATTGTGGATGATTTTCTGAGTTAGATGTTTTTAGAAAAGATAAGCATATAAACTTATAAGTTCTATGACTTACTTGGCTACTTACAGACTGTCCTAGTCATGTTAAACAAATGCGACTTTGTTGTTAAATTGGATTCTTAGGTACTAATTGTATAATATAAAGTGTTTTAATGATCTACATTGCTGTGTATCCGATAACATATTCCACTGCACCTCTGAAGTGCAGTTAGTGAGAGTAAGGACAATTGCTTAGATATCCAAAATGACACATTTATGTTGAATAAAGTCACATCAACATGGTGGTAGTGTCTGGCCTCTCCTGCTCCCTTCCTGTTACAGGTGCAGATGGCTTGCACCTTAGATGTTTTGTGCCTCAGATGCCATTGTAGCTATATTCCTGAAAGCAGCACACTGAAAGCAGAGTTTGTACCTTTATAATCACACAGAAACTATATTAATTATTACACTCTTTGGCCAGTAGCTTAGGTGTATTCCTAGCTAGCTCTTACATCTTAAATTAACCCATTCCTATTCATCTATATATTACCACGAGGCTGTAGCCTACCCGTAAGGTTCTTGCGTCTGTCTCCTATATGGTGTCTCCTTGACTCTGCCTACTGTCTTTCTATATCTCTGTTTGGATATCCTGCCTGGCTTTACTCTGCTAAGCCATTGGTCAAAACAGCTTTATTCATTATCCAGTAAAAGCAACACATACACATAAGGACATCCCATATCAGCACAGAATTCAGGGTTTTTTATGGTTGAAATATTGTGGCTATTGTGCATCTTTGATTATTTTTACTGAGGACAGACCCTTCCCAACTTATCCCCAATCACTCTTTTGAAGAACCCTAGAAAATTGTTTGGTAAGAATTTTTCTTCCTTATCTCATTCTCTTCTAGCCCTTTAACTTGCTTATCATTTGTATTTCTTGTAAACAGAAGGTAGGTTAAGGAGTTTGAGTATGTTCATGCTAAGCATTGCATAATAATATATTGCTGTTAGTTGTAATTCACATCACATTAGGTGTTATATAGACAGGCTATTTCATATTTAGATTTCATATATTGAAACGATTATACTTAAATGTAAGTTGTCTAGTAGCCAAATCCTTTGGATATTCTTGTTTTGTCTTTGAGATAGTTGACCAAGATAACACGCACAGGCCCCTCTGCTTGGGAAACAAAAAAGATTCTGGCTGTTTCCTTCGCCCCTCTGGTCCAACCCTGCCGTTCGGAGTCAGGACAACCCAGACTTGTTCAGCTACGTGAGTATAAGCATCTACCTGTCTTTTATGTCTGGTTAAAATCAGAATAGAAAAAAAGTACAAAAAAAAATCCCTTTGATATTAAAGAGTGTTAACCTCCCTTATTTCAGCCCACAAATTATACAAGATACTTTAGGCATTTAAAAAGTCTCTCTATTTAACCCATCTTAGATGATTTTAGTCTTCTTTTAAATCTATACAATGTTGTTACTGATCATGCATTTGAAAGTAGCAGATTCACAGAAGAGCTAATTTTGCCATGTGGGAAGCTCAGGCAGTTTGCTTTGCCTGCTGGGAATGTGTAGTGGCACCTGCACACAGTTTTCTCTTTCTCACAGTACCTGTCTCATGCTGCTGTAAGCAATATGGATGAGGAGCCTGTTCTACTGTGCGACTAGGAAATTTGGGGTAGCCTCATATGCTCTAAACCTTTGTGTTTTTATTTCTAAGATGTAGACTCAGCATGGAGCTTAAATAGGGTGATATTCATTCTGATGTTTTATATTTTAAACAGTTCTCACAGAAATAGGATTTCAAAGTTTTGAAGATTTAGGATTTCCAAGTGAAGACTATTCATCATGCTTTCTGATCACTTAAAACATTTAGAAAATGTGTGTGTGTGTGTGTGTGTGTGTGTGTGTATGCAAGAAAGAGAGGGAGAAAAATATAATAGAAATGTGAATTATTATAGATTGAAAACAAATACATTTTGGTGAATTTTTTACAAAACATTTCAATTTGTAATAGTCATTTAACAAATTGTCCTACTTTGTGTGTCATATGAAATTCAGTTTACAATTAACAGTGAAACATACCAAGGAGTTTATAAAGACTAGGGAAGGCATGTACAAGATGTTGTTATGTTGTGCTTGATTTTGAGGGTGAGAAGGAATTCCCTTAAGAGAGGAGGAGTAAAAAGAGAACCAGGAAAACCAAGGCAATAGAGACATACACTCTGTGGTGTTGTCGTGGGATGTGTTGGAAAAACTTGACTTATGTGTAGTTTGGGTTTTAGTTCATTGTATGGCTGTGGAGAGCCTCAGATGTTATTGAAGATGCTGCAATGCCATCATTTGGAGGGTGAATTTGTCAGACTGGTGCTCTGAAATTTTATTCTTTCAACAAATGTGGCCTTTGATCTTCTGGCATAGTGGCTGGATTTGGTGGAAGACAAGGACTCATGAGAGCATTTGGAAGACTTTGAAGATCTGGTTAGAAATGAGTGTTTCTGTATGAGGACTTATCAAGCCTGGATATGTGTTGCCTTCTCAAATGCTCACTGTGAATGTTTAGTGATAAACATTCATGTGATTTGGTTAGCATTAACCAAAGCTGGGTAGGGTATTTGCAGTTTCTGTCTTCCCAGATTTTGCTAGATCACTGATTTTTATGAGACCAAGGAAGTAAGAGAAACCGTATAGCAAAGCCAGCCCACAATGATGCTGAACAACTTGGACATGCACTGCCTGGAGCATCCTCCTAAGTGGCCTGTATTCAGGTTGGAGGCAGACATCAGGCAGGAAGTTGGGGTTTTCCCCATCAGGCAAGAGACAAAGATTGAGACTACACTAGCCTCAGCAGGAAGGGTTCAGGGATACATGACCTTTCTGAGGAGCAACAGGAGAGCCCAAGGTATTGATATTATTGTCTATGCTAAGTGTGGGGTAGGATTGTCTTGACTGGGACGAAATTTCAGCTTAGGGAAATGGTCTGTATTACTTAAAGTCATAGAATAGATATAAAACCAAGGATCATACTGAGAGAGAAGCGGAGTGGATACTGGAGCCTTTGGGGGTATCATAAGGCCCAAGGAAGAGAAGTCATAGAGAAGGGTTATGAACTGAACCAGCTATTCCTGGTAGTCCTTAGAGAAAGCTCAGTAGGCCAGAGTTGGTGCTTGGGAGCCCAGTAGCCAGTGAGGGACTGTTTTTAGCATCTCGGGGAAACAGCTGAATTTCAGAGGTTCTAGAACTAGTCTTTCTTGAATTGAGTTAGTGAGAGCAGGATATACCACAGGTCATTTGTTGAAGTACATTGGGGGATGCGGGAAAGATACTGCAGAACCATCCCAAAGAGAGAGCACAGCCCCATGTTCTCAGGGACAGAGGAAAAGAGAGAAAGGTTGGTACCTCTGAAAGAGGGAGGAGGTATTGTTTGCTGTTAGAACCTGGTCTACAGACTTGCATTTCTGCAGGGCAGAGGATACTGGTGGTCTTTAGGCAGGGTTTATGATTTAGGTAGCAAATGCTGCAGATAACACGAGAGTCCTCTCTATAGGGTGGCATCTTGTTTGGAGAAGGTTATGTGTAACGGCGTAAATGAATGCAGACAGAGTGTAGAAATATATATATAGATTTAATGTAGAAATAGACTTACAGAACCACCGTTCCCGCGGAGACCAGGAAAGCAGAAGCAAGCGCTCAGAGCTTGCTGGCCAAATTTATAGGCAGACATTAGCCCGAGGCGAACACGCCCCCTAAGGGGCGGGACTTATCCCTACATCTCCCCTTTTTGTCTAAATAAGACAGAACTAAACCAAATACAACTACATACAATAACAACAAATAATAAATATAACAAACAATATTGAGAACAAAAGCTTTGCTAAACATTCTATCTCAAGGAGTCCAAATAATGTAAAGAGTAACTACAATTATATAATCTTCAACTCAGTCAAAGATCTGAGAAGGGAATAAACACTACTCAACAAACGAGATATATCCAAAATGTGCAACAATTGACAGAGACAACTGACTACCTGGGCAATCACCCAAAGTCTCGTTTGCAACGTTGAGTCAACCAATTTTGGCTAAGGCCTAACATAACTGACATACCATTATTAAAGGCAAGGAACTTTTCAAAACTATCTTACCCTGTCTTGGCAGGATATGACAGTCCTGTTTTATCCATTGATGCACGCTCTGTATCTGTGTCAGTGGTTGAGGTATGGGCATTTCTTTGCCCAAAGGCCAGTTCTGCCAAAATAGAAAGGCTCCAGGTGGAGTGTTTTTGGTGCTCAACATTCTCTCGGGAATAGAGCGGTGTTGCCAGGAGCAATTGTGTCTCACTATCACGAAACTCTGAGTTAGATTAAAGGCCATATTCTACAGCTCTTTGAAGAGGTTGAAGATTATCTATCTATACTGAGTATAATCTCTATATATCTAAAGAACCTGATTAGTCTAATTATAAATGACAAACTTAGATGACAATTAGTCTATATAATTCTCAATATCTATCTAACTTAAAGACTAAGACAATAAACGACTGTGAAACAAATGAGGACAATGACCTCCAAATATAAACAATGTACAAATATACATTGCAGTAGGTAAATATATATCAATACACAAATATTATATAAGTATCTTAATCAGAGGTAGAAATGTACACTGCAATATGGTAAATATATACAATATATATATATCAATACAATATATGTCAATACATAAAAATGTTTTAAACAGAGGTAGAAACATGCATGCGTACAATAGTCCATATAATTTAACTTTGTTTCATTATACAAGAATTGATACCAATATATTTGTCTAAAAGCAGTAACTCACAATTATAAATCTATTATCCCATCATTCCCTCTTTTTTTTTTTTTTCAAAATGATCCTTGAGCTTATAAAATTCCTCTCCCAACCCTCAATCATATACTAATTATAATCAACCCCTAAATGATGTCCCTAAACCCAAGGGCAAACTTTACTGGGAGAGGGGACGTCGTTCTCTAGAATTACTTCCAGCTGTCATAGGGGCGACGTTCTTTCTGGGGGATCCTGTGAAAGTAAAATGATGGTTAAATTTCAAGATAATGTCTTTTAAAATTGCAAATAGTCTCTGAGTATTTTCATGCAGGTCTGGCCAAAATGTTGTATAAGATGTGCACCATTTCAGCTAACCAAGTTGGAACTGTCTTGTGCAGCTGGTACCCAAAGCAGGTCTTGTAGTAGCGCTATCAGTATCATGACGTCATATCAACCAGGTGGAGTTGTTGTTATGGGGCCCCATCTTCTTCCTGGAAACTTCAAATGTCACTTCAGGAAAAACTCATTGTTCATTATGAAAAACTTAAACATTAATCATATAGACATATATAGACATATATATATATTCAATGAAAGACATGATAGATATATTCAATGAAAAGTATGATAGATATGAAGAGAAGCAAAGATGTTTTCTAAACTCATATTTCTTTCTGTCCCATATCATGGCTCTTGACATGAGACAGAAACTCCAGAAACTCTGGGTTTTTCTCTTACTAACAGGCTTGGAATTGGAGAGGGACTGAGCCAGAGTCCAACTTCAAAACCAGCTTTATAAATTTAGAAATATGGTTTAATATTACTTACACAACCCATTCAGTTGTCTTGATATTTCCTATTGGGCAGGTATTTTTCCATCTGTCAGTATCCAAACATCCAGGGTCCCTTGAATTTCTCAAAGATGAGTGTTTTCCTGTGGAGATAAGAACAGAACCCTGCCCCCATTCTATATGTTTTTCTTACCACCTGTATGAATATCATCATTGTGGATGAGTTGTCATTTTCTCCTTTCCAAGAGGTTTCTCCTCTTCAAATCGAAACTTTATTAATTTTGATGGTATCCACAATTTTTCTTCTCCTGTGGAAACAAGAGCAAAACCCCTTCCCCAACGTAGCACATCTCCTGGCTTCCACTGAGAGGTCAGCACATCTTTGAAATAAATCGGTTGATTTAGTTCAGCAGACTTTTCCATTATCCAATGTCTTTCTGCTGCTGTCGTTCCTTTCTCATTAGCGTTAAGAAAATTCAAGGTTAATAAAGCATTATGTAATCTATTTCTGGGGGTATTTTCAGTCCCTTTCTGTTTGTTCAGCATATCCTTTATAGTACGATTTGATCTTTCTATAACTGCCTGACCTGTAGGATTATTTGGTATACCTGTAATGTGTTTTATATTATAATAATCAAAAAAGCGTTTCATTTTCTTAGATACATATGCTGGACCA